TCTGCCTTCTGTTCAGGTGCAGGTTCATCCTTACTCTGTTTAAAGAATATTGAAATGTTCAGATTCAATTGCGGGTATTCAGAAATAGCAGATGTTCACTTATGGTAAAGTTTTGGCCTATAATTGGTCTCCTGTGCACATTTATCAAAATTTCCATTGAGATTAAGTAATAAATTATAACCCAGCTTCTGAGAATTGCAGGGGCTCTTACTGCTGTATCCACTGTTGTTACTGCCCCTCTGTGGTGACTCCTCACACGCTGAACTGTTGACCTTCAAGTCAGCTGTGAACGTCAGAATGACTGTTGTAGTTTCCTCCTCTGACTTGGCTTGCTGTGATCAGACATTTTCAGAATTCATGTCTCAAGATAAAGGTAATTTAAAATTAAATTAAAAGTTGCTCAGAACATTTGCAAAAGGCCACAGCCAACTGGGCTTTATGGTATTTAGAGATCTGGTAGAGGGTGGTTAACAGGTGATTTGTGACCAATTCAGGTGTCAAGAGTTTGCAGAATAGGGCTGGGGATTTAGCTCAGTGGTTCCGCCGCCTCCTTCGCAAGCACAAGGTCCTGAGTTTGATGCCCAGTACCAAATAAATAAATAAATGTATGCATATTTGCAGAGCCCCCCCCCATGCCTTTGTATGGAGCCTTGAGCTTAAAGACATTTCAGGCAGAAATAGAATGTGGATGATTGGGGCCAAAAATAATACCCCCACCCTCCCTGGATATGGTCATCTTAGGAGCCTATGTTCTCCTTTGTTCTCCAACTGAGTCAGGGCTGATTTAGATTATGAAACTCATGGTCCATCTCTTTATCTTCTAAGAACTGTTATCAGTGATTAAGCCTGAGAAGCTTCTTATGGAACTGCTTTGGTGATAGTGAGCATGAACTTGCAGAGCAGGGTGGGGCCCTGTTCAATCTTTATTCCACCTGCTTCAGCAAGAACCATGCAGAAAAACACAGCACTTCCTCATAATGGCTTCAAAACACTGCAGCAAGTGTCACCATGGAGTGGCTGCCCTTACACACAGTGCTCGTCAAGGGCCAGCTGGTCCTGCTCATGCAACAGTACTGTCCTCATCTTCCTACCCTGCCCTTCTTCCCAGATCCCCAGGCCATAGTGGGCAGGGTGCCTGTCTTGTGCCTTGTGTATGCAAGATCCTCCTTTCAGTGCCTCATAGTTGTCCCTGGGTGGAACCAAATGAATGAGGTAATGGGAAATGATTACTTGTCATTATCAGTCCCTGTCCTAATCCATTGCGTAACTTTGCCTTTGTCTCGAATTGTATGTGGCTGGCTTCGGGCCAAGTTCTGATTTTGCAAGCAGAGAATCTTTCTGTGTCCACTGTGTTAACGTAACTATGATAGTCACCCTCCAGATTTAGAGTACAAATTGAACATGTTACCTACGCACAGGAAAAGTAGGTGTTACCATGTTGCTTCAGCTGGAGAGCGGAGAAGCAGAGGGACTTGGTGGGCAGTGGATATTAGTTTAACTTTTAGACCGAAGTCTGGGCCCTGCAAAGGGGTTCCATGTTTTTTTGAAAGGTGAGGATGAAAGTATGCCTTTGTGGGTAGAATAGCTGAAACTCAGGTTTGTAACTGTTCTCCAGTTTTATTTTGGTAGTGATATACTTTTGTCTCTAAAAATGAAAGCTGTAATATTCTACAAGGTCAGTTGCTGGATGAGGATGAATGAGGAAATATTTCTGTTATAGAAGTAGTGTTTTTGCCTAGTAGGACATCCTGTTTTTCCCTTGGTGACTCTGCCTTAGAAAAACAAGCCGGAATTGACTTAGTCACCCTGGTGAAGGGAAGAAAGCTTTATTTGGCCTAAGTGATTTTATCACTATGTGGATTGAATAAGTTGGTGTGGTCATGAACACATGGGAAGCCATCTTCACACTTGGATACCATAAGCTTCTCCTGGCATGGACAGAAAAGTATGGGACACCTGAATGAATAAATAATGATGACAGAGGCCAGAACAGCATTTCACACCAGTGCTGTTCCTAAGAAAGGCAGTACCCAGCTACTGTGGTAGTGTATGTGGCAAGTGCTCATCCATTCTGTCAACTTGAAACTACCTTCCTGTGGAGTTCAGTGCAGATTTAATTTATTTATTGGGAAGGAGCCACCAAGAGCAATAAGATTAGATGGCTCTCAGAGGTACTGGAAGCAGGGGGTATTGAGATAGGATGGCAATCCTTTCTCTCACCTTGGAAAAGTTACCCACAAAACATCTCAGCAGGGCCCCAGGGTTTAAAAAGTGTTAGTTTAGGTTAAGAGCTACATATTTCAGGATAAAATGTGGTACTGGAAAATGTTGCCTTATCCTTGAGATTGTTAGTGACAGATTCATTTGTGAGGCTTATTCCTTAAGTATGAAGATTTGTTTTGTGTACTCATGGAAATCTGCCTGAACTGTGCTTTTATAAACTCTGGTTTTGCCATGTTCGGTATTTCATGTTTCAAAGCTTTCTGTTTGTTGGTTCCATAAAGTTCCAAGTCTGTTAGGATTTAAATGCCCTTTGTAGCTTCATACAGAAGATAAGGAGGTTATGGAATACATTGTCAGCTATGTATGCTTTAAATGTTTATGGCGTTAGTCAGTGAACTATGCCTCTGATTGTTCAAGTAAAATGTATTTCAGTTTTGTTTTTGTTTTATTTTGTATTACTGGGCATTGAACCCAGGGCCTCACACATGCTGGGTAAGCACTCTACCACTGAGCTACATCCTCAGACCCTACCTCCAGGTTTTATTTATATACTTCTCCTTGAGATTTTTATGGAATCACTTTTTTTCACCCTTTTTTATATACTTTGATAAAATTGTGAAGGCTTTTGTTTGTGGTTTTCTTCATTTTAAATCTGAATTATTAATTATTGTGTTTGTTGTAGTAGTACACTAATCATTCTATATGGTAGCTAGGAAAATTCCATTTTCTAAGGTTTTCTTTAAAAAACATTTCCTAATTTTAAGTAAGCATATTTCACCAGTGGGTATTATTTCATTAATATCAGTGGATATTAATTATATTTGTATTGATATACATGTCTTATTCACTTTATTTACATACAACACTAAATATATTGAAAAAAATCTATATATTGTATAGCTCAAACACTAATATAAAAATACAAGTAGCTATTTTTATAATAATTAAACCAATTTCGTTAACTTGTGAAATGAATTTACTGAGATTTCCTGGATATAAATCTGTCATTTATAATTTCTTTTATTAACATCAGCAAGTTCATATATTTAATATTCCTTTACTGAGAGGAAAGGAGACATTAACTTGAATTAAAACTAAATATATTATATAGTATCTTTTTAAAACAATTAGGGTCTCATTTGATGATTATGAATCTAATAGATCAAATCAGTGTTTGATGGATGAGTTGGTAATATCACAATCCACCTTCATAATTAAGCACCAAGAGTCTGTTCTCATTCAACAACTTCTTTAAGGCTGAGTAAACTGGAGCTTAATTAAACTCACAGATAATGCTAAGGGATGTTGATTGCTATCTCAAGGAAAATAAAATGATGCAGCCTGACCTTAACAAATTGTGAATATGGGAATGTTGACAAATGATAATAAGCAGCAAGTGGTATTATTCCCAAGTCAATATTGCTGAAAGAAACTGAGTTTAGGATAGCAATATTGTTTTTGAATATTTAGAAATTCCCTCTTTCGAATATTTTATAGACTCTGAAATTTTTGAAGTCCTGTACTGAATTTAGAAATCAAGGGAACATACCTCTTTCACCTGCATAAGTCTGTTCTGGATTAAAAGACATTGCGATTAAACTCTTGATGGCTGAGGGCCTAACACATACAGGACCGCTGGGTCACAGTGCCCTAACACTAGTAGGTGAAATATAGGGGGTAAACTTGCTGGATTCTGTCACTTTCTCCTAACTATTTCTTTCTCCTACTGATGCTAGAGAATAAAGTGCCAATCTGTATTGGAGGAAAGTAATTGAAAGTGAGATAATATCTACTTTACCGTCAGTGGGTTTTATATTTTCCTTATTTTTTTTGAAGCTTGTGAAAGTTACCCTGAACTCAAATTAACTACTTTATAACTTCCTACTAGCAGAAACAGGAAATAGTAGTTGACTTCTGATATTAATTTATTTCTCTTTACTGGGTATTCAAGATACAGTCAGTAGCTAGCAATCTTATGAGAAAGGCCCATCACTATTATTTTAATACACTGGAATCTTTTTATGATTTTGAAATGTACGTCAATAAGGAGTGTGAATGCAGTATACAAGATGAAAAATGAGTGGTGAAATACATTTTTCTTAGGCATCAGCTGTTCGATTGACAAAAGGCGCAGATATGAAATTTGTCTAAATAATTAGATTTTTAATTAATATATCATTGTAAGATTGATGTCAATGTGCTTCATTGCATGTAATTTTCTATTAGAAATTGCATGTCAACAAAGATGCTACCTGTGGTTTGCTGATTTGAATCCTTAATTTATCACTTGTATGTATGGCACGTCACATATTTACACACAAGAACAGAAAGAAGGCATTTGGTTTTAGCTTCCCTGGTGCTGAGGAATATTGATGGTGCTTTGCTATATGAATACATTATAGCAGTGATGGCAAACCTTTTAGAGACTGAGTGCCCAAACTGCAAGCCAAAACCATCGTATTTATTGCAAAGTGTCAACATTGCAATTTACCCCAAATACTTAGGTTTTAGTTTAGAAAGAGCAACTCATACATTAACATGTCTTGTCTTTATAGAAAAATAACAGGTCATAGCTTCACCACCACTACATTAGTTTCTAATATTTAAGACAGCCACTTCTCAAATATTAGTGCCTAATAATAATTTGCAAAAACTTTGGCAATAGCATGAACAGATACTGTGGATTATTCAACTTAGACTATGTATACTTTGGATGTACTTGAATATCATTGATACTATATTCTCCTTTTAAAACTGATTTTTTTTCCTTTTAACAGTTGCCGAACAAGCAACCGGAAAAGCTTGATAGGCAATGGACAGTCCCCGGCCTTGCCCAGACCACACTCACCTCTTTCTGCTCATGCAGGTAACTGACTACCCTTGCTTGAGTTTTGTTTTATCTCTTAAAGAAGTTGACCTGTTGAGGTTCAGGTGTTTCTTTGAGACTGTTTTCCTATTGCTTTATCAATAAGGTGGTCTTTCTGAAATACAGAGGTTTTTGTTTTAATATGGGATCTGTTTTAATGATTGCTTTCTCTATTTCTAAATTTCTGGATGATGTAATTTATATTTCCATGTTAGGAATATATTTAGGAAATGCAGACTGGCTGCTCATGTGTTAAGAATAAGTATTGAGAATTTTTTAGATGTTTATCCCTAAAATTAAACTTGACCATTATATTGAGGTACAGTAGCTATTATGAAAATTCAATATGAGATCCATGGTCTCAAGTATTCTATAGAATTATAAGGGATGCAGAGACATATTATAAAAACTGTATGAGGAAGACTGCTATGTATGCTTTTATTTTTAACATTCTAATTCAAAACGGTGAAAAGAAGAGAATGGTTAATTCTAATCAGGAAAGTGTGGGAGAGTTTGAAGGAGCCATTTGCCCAAGAGATTGAAAGATGGGCAAAATTTTGGAAGGTAGAAATGGGGTAAAATAAAGAATGTATGGCTAGAGTTTGGGAGGTGTATCTTTGGTTGTATTAGGAAACAAAGATGGAACATCAGTGATTGGAAGGAGTTTTGACTCTGAGTGTCTTTTTAGGAGTTGGATGAGAGTCTGGGTTTTAGGAAGGTGTCTTTGGGATGGTGAAGGATGGCAGGTTGAAAGAATGAATAAGTAGCCCTACTTGTAGAACACCTTGGTTTCCTGGTTAGATGTTGGACTGTCACTGTCCCTCAGAAGGCAGTCCTTGAGCTCCAGGAATCTCTCCAGTGGTGTCTGTTGTGGTTGAGAGAAGAAGGCCGAGAGAGTTGAAAATCACATTTTAGTAAGAAAAAGGTGGCACAATAAAAAACAAAGATAAATTTATAAAATTGTGATACTATAAAATGATCTCACTGATATCTGAAGTGCTTTTCCCAGTAGAATTTTAGAGACACTCTTACACATAGAAATTCATGCTCAAACCAATATGGCAGCATGTCCATAGTAGCTGAATACTTGAAAACAACCTAAATCTCAACTGGCTGGATATGACATAGCTATACATATAAAACAAAGAAATGAGCCCTGCACATACATGAACTGTAATGTTGGGCAACAAAAGCCATTCACAAAGGAATATAGTTTAAACCCTTCATATAAAGTTAACACAGTATTACATAAAGTATTTTGTTTCGGGATAAACATCATATAATATGTAATACATTCCACATATCAACTATATGAGATGTGATAAACATATATAGTGAATATTTAAATTTAAAAAATATATTTCAGTAAAGCACACACATCAATCTTCTCAAAATACTTTTCTTGCTTTGAACACATCTCATCGTTTTTGCCACTTTTTGGAGTGGTTCTAGAAGCCTTTTTTATGCGTGTGAGTGGCTTTAGTTGCATGCACTGTCATGGATGCTTCAACGTTCTGAATAAATTCAAAGCATTTAAGGCAATTTTTATGGATTAAAAACATCACACTATGTCCTCATCTACCTTATTTACTGGGATTAGCACTGTGAGACTTCTGGCTCTTCCCCAAAGTCAGAATGACCATGCAAGGTAAATTCATATTGATTCAGGACATAGAGGGAATCCACGATAAGCTACTAAACACACACATGAAAGAGAACTCTCAGAACTGCTTCAAAAAGTTGTGGAAATGTGGGATAAGTGTGTTTGATGTGAAGGGGAGGATTTGGGTGGAGATTGATGGCAGTGTGTCTTTTACTATAATAAAAATTTTTTAAATGTAAACATTCTCTATAGTCTTTTATTATACTACATATGTATATAATAATAGTTTAATAGGACAACATGGTAATTTTAAAGGCCAGTTTTATGATAGTTACTTCTGGGAAGTCTGTGGCTATTATTGAAAAGGGGTAAACTATTGGTAATATTACATTTCCAAAGTTTTACGATGAGTACACATTATAATTTTGAGATTTATATTGCATGATTGTCATAATTCTAAAGCCTGTGGAGGGTCAAACAAGGCTAAATGCCTTACTTGCAGGCTGGAATTATTTATGTTATTTAAATCTTTGTGTTTCTCCTGCCCAAGCACAATGCCTGGCAATATTACTAGGTGCTGAGTGAATGATGAATTCTATTTCTTATATATAGGTCAATAGTGATTTAAGACATGTTTGCTTATTCTTTGTAGTAATTTCATCATCCTTATGTGTCCATTGATTATTCTTTGGTTGCTGTGATTTTCTTTAGTTCTAATATTGAGAAGGGAGATAATGTGGTTAAGATTATAATGATCTACAGGGATTTAGCTCAGTGGTTCTGCTACCTGCCTCACAAACACAAGGTCCTGAGTTCAATCCCTGGTAGCAAAAAAAAAGAAAAGACTATAATGATCTTTTAAAATTATTCTTTTCTTCTTGTATAATTTTAGCTTGAATTCTTTTCCCTTCAGCATTCATTTGAAAACTTGATCATTGGAGTAGGCAGAGAGGAGCCTGTTCAGGTCCTAGAGTATTTTTCTTTACCCTACAGAGCCAGCAGGTTCTCGTTCATGCAGAGGCAGTGGAAATCTGTCAGACTTTTTGTGACAAGTGGCACTTATCAGTCTGGTAGATTCCTATTTCTGTATAAGAAGAAAGAGAAAATGTGAGTTAAATAAAGGAGCAGTCCTTCCGTCTTGTTAATATGCCATGTGTGTCCTCCCCACCCTAGTGCGTTTGACCTCTGTATTTCTGTCACACCTTCTCTATCCTATATTTAATACACAGACTTCCAGGGAAGGATTCTTAGATGTCTGCATGCAAAGCAAAAGAAAGTAAAGCTTCCATCTCTTAGTATTTACTTCCCTACAAGGTAGAGATCCACTTTTCTTCTTAGGGAGGGAGTGTATGGGCCCAGCCAGCACTCACTGACACCCTGATCTGCACTGGTTCAGGGTCATAATAGAGACCCGCACCTTGGCAATGGTGTGGGTGTGTCAGGAGTGCTTAGGAAATGCATATATTGGCATAGTGTCCTTCATTGTGCCTTCACACACAGAGTAATGTTTGTGAGGAGTCAGGGATTCCTGAAAGAGCAGTGAACAGAATAGGCCTGTTAAAAAAGAGAGTCCATTAAAAAATCATGGACTTCTAGTTCGATGAAGATTCTAAGTATAAAATACAATCCAAAAACTCTACCTTTAAAGGAAGAGACTGGTGTCTCTCTCCTTGAAATGATCCTATGTCAATAGCAGTTTTGTAAGAAAGTGTGGAAAATATTTATGTGCCCATAACTGATTGCCTTCTTGTACAAAAAGCTTATGTAAATTGATACTAGGTAGTGAATGGACCAAAGGGAAGATGAGCATAAGGTGTAAGTAGCATGTCACAGAAAAATGTGGCCAACAGAAACATGGAACAATATTTCACTGCAGTTGTAAGATAAATGCAAACCAAGATGATAGGATACTGTAGTATCATTTACTTAGTGTACATTTTTATTTTTCAAATTGATAATATCCAATAATAGCAAAGATGTGGGGAATAGTCCCTTTCACATGATGTAAATCAGTACAGCCATCATGGTTATCAGTTTGCTATGTTGGTTAAAACTTCAAATGCCTTTACCATTTGGCTTAGAAAATCCATATAAAGGAATTTATTGTGCTGATATGCTCAGAGAATCAATGAAAGTCATAAGTATAGGGTGGCTGGTAACCAGCAAATGGAAGGGTAAGTTGTTACCAGTGTTCTACTTAAACTATTTCTTCAGTGATGGACAGATTAAATAAAATGATTCAAAGATACAGTGAATGTGGTAGTATTAGAAGGATGCCCAAGATAAATTGTTAAGTTAAAAATGCATGTTGTATGTTCATGTGTGTATGAGAGAGAGTGTATACATACATGCATAAATGCAAGTGTATTCATGCATATTCATAGGGAATCTGTAGAAAAAATGAAAGGACAAATCATTGACGATGTTTATTTGGAGGAAACAGGAAGGTGGCGGAATTAGCATGTTAGTGCTTTTACCAAGGGAGGTGGTCTTAAAAAAAAAAAGAATACAAAATACCTGAAGTAGTTTCCTAATATTGTGTAACAGATTACTAAATATATGGCTTAAAACAGTATAATTTATTAATCACACAGTCTTGTGCAGTAGAAGTCTGGACAGGCCTGCCTGGGTTCATATCTCAGGGTATCTTAAGGCCAAATCAAGGTTTTTCTCGGCCCGGCTCTTTATCTACAGGCTGGGGAAGAATCTACTCGCTCGCTCATGCGGGTTGTTAGTAGATTGAGGTCATTGCCTTTGTAGGACTGATGTCCTGATTCATCCTGACTATTGTCCAGAGCTGCTTTTGCCCCCAGAGGCCATCGTCCTTTAGCAGTGGTGCAGCCCTTCCTCCTCACGTCAGACAGACTTCTACCAGCAGCCAGAGAGAAAGAGCTTTCTATTTCATGGGCTCACTCAAACAATCACTCTGTTATAAAGTCCACTGACCTAGGACTTAGAGTACATCTGCAAAATCCCTTCACAGTAGTACTTAGATTAGTATTTGATCAGATGACTAGGAGATTAAAATCTTGAGATAATCTTAAGCATCCTGTCTACCACAGTGTCACTTCCATGCTGTATTTTACTTTAAATGGGTAAAATACGAGATCTCAAAGTGGTATTGCCACTAGACTAGGTGGAGATAAGTAATAGAGATCCAATAACCCAAGGCTTTTAAAGTTCCAGGGTAACAAAGATAGCCTTCTTAGCCAAAATACATATTCCTTTGATTTTTTTTTAACTTTGCATTACTGGGAATTTGCAGGTGACTGACAAAAACAGTATTTTATTAATCACACAGTCTTGTGCAGTAGAAGTCTGGACAGGCCTGCCTGGGTTCATTGCTCAGGGTATCTTAAGGCCAAATCAAGGTTTTTCTCGGCCCGGCTCTTTATCT